TTTATGAGAAACTTGTTTTTCCAAAGAAGTGAGTGGGAGCACTATAGATTTTCCGATGAGTATGTGTTGTTAACATGTTGTTGATCGGAAATGACGTAGGATTTCTGGAAAGCATATAGGGTTATTTGAAAAGTGTTTTTCAATGGAAAACCTGGATTAAGCTACTTGAACGTTGAGCATCAAGATCTATAAGGATGGATCAAAACGCTTAATGGTACTTTCAAATGAGCACATACCTTGACATGATCTTGAAGGTGTTCAAGATGGATCAGTCAAAGAAGAAGTTCTTGCCTGAGTTGTAAGGTACGAAGTTAAGACTTAAAGCTCGACCATGGCAGAATAGAGAGAAAGGACGAAGGCCGTCTCCTATGCTTAAGACATAGGCTCTACAGTATGCTATGCTGTGTACCGCACCTGAAGTGTGCCTTGCCATGAGTTAGTCAAGGGGTACAAGAGTGATCCAAGAATGGATCACAGACAGCGGTCAAAGTTATCCTTAGTAACTAGTGGACTAAGGAATTTTCTCGATTATGGAGGTGGAAAAAGAGTTCGTCGTAAAGGTTACGTCGATGCAAGCTTAAACACCTATCCGGATAGCTCTAAGTAGAGATACCGGATACGTACAATGGGGCAACAATTTAGAATAGCTCCAAGTGGAACAGTTATTTGGACTGGCTCCAAATAGAACGTGGTAGCTACATCTAGGAGATGACATAGAGATTTGTAAAGCACACACGGATCTGAAAGGTTGAGACCCGTTGACTAAAACCTCTCTCACAAGCAACATGATCAAACCCAAAACTCTTTGGATGTTGGTCACATGGTGATGTGACCTGTCAGTGTTAATCACATGGTGATGTGAACTAGATTATTGACTCTAGTGCAAGTGGGAGACTGTTGGAAATATGCCCTAGAGGCAATAATAAAAGTGTTATTATTATATTTCTTTGTTCATGATAATAGTCTTTTATTCATGCTATAACTGTATTATCCGGAAATCGTAATACACGTATGAATACATAGACCACAATATGTCCCTAGTGAGCCTCTAGTTGACTAGCTCGTTGTGATCAACAGATAGTCATGGTTTCCTGGCTATGGACATTGGATGTCGTTGATAACGGGATCACATCATTAGGAGAATGATATGATGGACAAGACCCAATCCTAAGCCTAGCACAAAGATCGTGTAGTTCGTATGCTAAATCTTTTCTAATGTCAAGTATCTTTTCCTTAGACCATGAGATTGTGCAACTCCTGGATACCGTAGGAATGCTTTGGGTGTATCAAACGTCACAACGTAACTGGGTGGCTATAAAGGTGCATTACAGGTATCTCCGAAAGTGTCTGTTGGGTTGGCACGAATCGAGACTGGGATTTGTCACTCCGTGTAAACGGAGAGGTATCTCTGGGCCCACTCGGTAGGACATCATCATAATGTGCACAGTGTGACCAAGGGGTTGATCACGGGATGATGTGTTACGGAACGAGTAAAGAGACTTGCCGGTAACGAGATTGAACAAGGTATCGGTATACCGACGATCGAATCTCGGGCAAGTAAAATACCGCTAGACAAAGGGAATTGTATACGGGATCGATTGAGTCCTTGACATCGTGGTTCATCCGATGAGATCATCGTGGAACATGTGGGAGCCAACATGGGTATCCAGATCCCGCTGTTGGTTATTGACCGGAGAACGTCTCGGTCATGTCTACATGTCTCCCGAACCCGTAGGGTCTACACACTTAAGGTTCGATGACGCTAGGGTTATAAAGAAAGTTTGTATGTGGTTACCGGATGTTGTTCGGAGTCCCGGATGAGATCCCGGACGTCACGAGGAGTTTCGGAATGGTTCGGAGGTAAAGATTTATATATAGGAAGTCCTGTTTTGGACACCGGAAGAGTTTCGGGGTTTATCGGTAATGTACCGGGACCACCGGGAGGGTCCCGGGGGGTCCACCAAGTGAGGCCACCAGCCCCGGAGGCTTGCATGGGCCTAAAGTGGAAAGGGACGAGCCCCAGAGTGGGCTGGTGCGCCTCCCACCCTTGCCCAAGGCGCAGCTAGGAGGGGAGAGGGGAAACCCTAGGCGCAGATGGGCCTATAGGCCCACCCTAGGGCGCGCCCCCTCTCTCCCCCTCTTGGCTGCCCCCTCCAAGTCCCATCTAGGGCTGGCCGCACCCCTTGGGGGTGGGAAACCCTAAAGGGGGCGCAACCCCCCCTTACCCTTATATATAGTTGAGGTTTGGGGCTGCTATACACATGAGAACCTCTCCTCTTGGTGCAGCCCTACCCCTCTCCCTCCTCCTCCTCTCCCATGATGCTTAGCGAAGCCCTGCGGGATTGCCACGCTCCTCCACCACCACCACGCCGTTGTGCTGCTGCTGGATGGAGTCTTCCTCAACCTCTCCCTCTCTCCTTGCTGGATCAAGGCATGGGAGACATCACCGGGCTGTACGTGTGTTGAACGCGGAAGTGCCATCCGTTCGGCACTAGGATCTCCGTGATTTGAATCACGACGAGTACGACTCCTTCAACCCCGTTCTCATGAACGCTTCCGCTTAGCGATCTACAAGGGTATGTAGATGCACTCTCCTTCCCCTCGTTGCTAGTCTCTCCATAGATTGATCTTGGTGATGCGTAGAAAATTTTGAATTTCTGCTACGTTCCCCAACAGTCCAGCCTCCCCCCGGAGTACGAGGAGATAGCCTGGCGCGGCTTCTCCGACGAGGACGCCATGCAGTGGTCGCGCGACGACTACCTGCGCGAGGAGATGATCCGGCAGCGCCGGGCCCGAGAGGAGATCGCCGCCCGCAAACGTGGGCGCGAGGACGAGGACGGTGTCGTCGTCTTCAACCCGCCGCGCCAACCGGGGGAGGGATGCAGCAAGGACGGCGGAGGCGTAGGTGGGGGCGACAACGACGACGACGACGACGACGACGGTGGTGACTACACGCGGTTCTACAGCCTCCTCGGCATGTAGAACCGTGTGGGCGGGCGGCGAGGAAGACGGCGGGGGTAGCCCGCGGTAGATTTTTTTTATAAAATATGTTTAAATTTAAACGAACTCGCCCGTATTTGCGTTGTGTTTGCGCCGAATTTAAACATTTTAAAAACCCGTGTGGGGCCGTGACTGGAGGGCATCACGCTTCCAATGCGTGGTTTAGCGCCGGTGCGTTCCCAGAGGGCGATTTTTTGCTCCTCCTGAGGCCAACGGCTGGAGATGCCCTGAGTGGTACGTTGTACATGGCGGAGGATTTTGGTTAGAACAATCTTCGCAAGGATTAGCTTTATACTACCTGTATACATTGTTTAATGAGCCTGGAGTCTGAACAATGAACCTGGCTTGCTAGCTGCAGTCGTCAACGCTGGGAGTCCCCTTGCGAAAAGATTGAGAAATTTACAGGGGTAGAGTTTCAGTTCATGTCGGTAGGTGAATTACCCACTGTGATTATTTTATACTGCTACACGAGTGGAGTTTGCGCAAGAAAGATGGAATAGTTTGCGAGTAGCACATGTACTGCTAGCTAGGCTAACCATGATTCTCTTACTACTTAGCAGTACAATCAGATCAATAACAGCAACTGAAAACATCTTAACTTGCCCGCTGCTGCCCCTAGTTCTGCGTGTCTACATCAGCAGCCACGGACCAGACCAAATCTATTACCTGCTTCGCAGGCTAAGGCCTCTTTTGATTCATAAGATAGGATTATCATAGGAATAAGAATCTTGTAGGAAATGAGATGACATGTATCTCAAATCTTATGAGTAGGAATAAAAAACAAGATGACATTTGGTTGACACCAAAGGAATTTTTCCATTGAGTCTAGACTCTTTTTTATTTTCCTATGAAATGTGGAGGATAGGAACCAATTCTATGTAGAAATAGGAATCCATTCCTATGAACCAAAAAGCTCTAAAGGAAAAAATCCTATAAAAATCCTATTCTCTATAATTTTTATGAAATTCCTCTAAATAAAAGGAGACCTAAATGGTTAAATGGCAAGCACGGCGCTGGACAGCGGGAGCTCGTTTAAGGCGTGCGGAAATGACTGTCACATGTTTGAATATTGACAAGCCAAACCCAGCCCAAGAAAACGACATCCAACAAAAAGACATGCAATATCTTGAGCTCCTATACTCACTCATTCTTCAGTCCACGACTACTAAAGAAGAAGAAAACAAGGCAAGACCCAACAACGATTCGTCGCTTTCTCACTGGAAGACACAACAAGTAATCTGAATGATTTACCTGAACAAATGCTTTTGAAATCAACCCACCCTAATAATGCCGCTGACGCCCTTAGATGTGCAAAGACAACAAAAAGAATGTGTAAAGACTGCTAGAGTCATACAAAAACCCATGCAAGCGCCGGATTTAGGAAATACAGTTTGTAGTTCTTGGCTGTTGGGTCTGAATCTGAAGCCAGAAAAGGTGTCGTTGACAGCCTGAAATAGACGGGCGCCCACGGATAAAAGCCGCGGCCACCCACGACGCGGCCGGGGCGACACCATTTTTCCATCGAACATTCCGACCCACCCACACCCAGCCAGCAGGGGAGCTCCGTCCCCACCACGCCGCACGCGCATCGCAGATCACCACCGCGCGCGCGGGCCGACCGACGACCCGACCCCATCATCCACACCCTAGCACGCGCCCCGCGGCGGGAGGAGACACCCACCTCCCTCCCGCTGACTTGCCTTCGCCGTCACCTTCCTCCGCACGCGTTTCCAATCCAAGCTAGCTAGCCACCGCCGAGGCGACCCGCGGTAGCTATATAAAGCCGCGGCGTCGCCGGCAAGCCGCAAACCCAAACCAACCACCGCAAACATCCATCGCGTTCCCGGCCACTTCTACAACCTGCTTTGCTTCCGCGGCGCGATCTTGTTTTAGCTCGGCCTCCATCCCCGCTTGGCTCCTTGCGCAACAGCTTCTTCTGGTGTGGTGTGCGAGCGCGCGCGGTTCTTGGAGGAGCTTCTGTCGGCGGCGCGCGAGCGGGCATGGGGAACTACCTGTCATGCACGCTGGCCAAGACGCCGGGTGGGAAGGGCGCGCGGGTGATCCTCCCCGACGGCGTGGTGCGGCGGGTGTCGCTGCCGGCCACGGCGGCGGAGCTGATGATGGACGCGCCGGGCCACTTCGTGGCCGAGACGCGCCACGCGCGCGTCGGCACCCGCCTCGAGGCGCTCCACGCCGACGAGGACCTCGAGATGGGCGTCGTCTACGCCACCTTCCCCATGAACCGCATCGGCACGAAGCTGGCCGCAGCTGACATGGCCCGCCTCGCCGCCGCGGCCACGCGGGAGGCCCGCCGCTCCGCCAAGGTGTCCTCCGTCGGGGTCGGGGCCGCGGCGGCGACGGCGGCTGCACCAGAGCCGGCCATCACCTTCGTGCCGGCCGCGGAGGAGGCGCCGTCGCCGAGGGCGCGGCTGGACGAGATGGTGGACGACGCGGTGGCCGCGGAGATCGACGTGCTCAAGCACCGGCTCAGCAGCGCGCGCTCCAGGCGGCCCAACCTCGAGACCATCCACGAGGAGAATCACCTCCTGTGCAGACGCTGAAATATACTTACTAGCAGCTCATTTTTCTTCTTCTTCTTTGTTCTCGAATTTTTTGACATCAAGTTCAACAGAAGTTGGAAAGGATATATGTGGTGAAAACCAAGGAATTGATTGTACAGTCTGACTTTGTGGAAGAATTCAAAACGTATACATATGTGGATCAGGTCAGCTTTGCCATTTGTTTGTTCATCCCTGTTCCTACAAAAACATGTTAAAATTCGAAATGGCAAACATCTCCTGGGAAAGGGGGAAATAATTCACCTTTGAATTTTGGGCCAATATCATTGTCCTATTGTTTCTTTCCAAAAGAAATAGTACAAGAATATTACCTTCTTTTTTGAACATCAGTACAGACACAAGCGCTCATATACACGCGCATACACTCATCCCTATGAACGCACACACGCACACCCTACCCCTATGAGCATCTCCAAAAAACTGAGCCGGCATATCATCTTGAGATTTAATTATACTAGTATTACTTTTACCAGATCAATAGAAACATATACTTCTACGTATCAGAAGTCAAAGATAGGAAATTTTGGCCGTACACGTTTTAGAATGTTTTGTACGCAAGGATACTAGGTCATATCACTAGACAAGGTTAACAATTTTTTTTTTCAAAATCTCCATGTTTCAACCTTTTGTTTTCAAGAAGATGCACGAGATTTGCGAGTCATTTGTATTAAGAAGAAGATTTGACACCGTACAAGGAACTGCCATGGCGATCCAAAGAAATGTTTGAGATATTGATTTGAAGATGGCAGAGTATTAAGTATTTGTATTAATTTTGTTTGTGGTCATCTAAAAGCACATGGAGATGATTTTTATTTCTGCCACGTAGGATAATTCTCAATGTGCACGGGGAATCAAACAAACTCTTCATTAAGAGTCACACTCTCGTTAAGGAGTCAACCTTGTTGCCTTTGTACATTGACCTATTTAATGCTAGCTCGTCGTTTAGAATCAGTCCCGCATTGGAAAGTGTCGTATACTAGCTAATATCATGCATATGATATTGATGTATGATACTATATACATAGTGCATAGTAGGCTGATCATAGTGGGTTGTATCTAAGTTTGGCTCGCTGGGCCAAAACCACTTTACCCCCATCGTCAAGTTATCTGGTGGTTAGAGCATCACTAAATGATAGGTTGGTATTATAGATGACCTTATTTATTGTCATGCATGACACATAGTACCACACCATCTAATCTGATACGGTATCATACCATGATACTCAGTTCTCTTTTTCTTTATTTAACTGTAGGCCACATCATCTAAACTGTTAATAGCTTTTTTCCGTGTAGAATCAGTTTAAAATGCACCCTATTGCATAAACTATTTTACTATTGACTCTAAATTACGTGGAGTGAACATAAAAGAACTGTTTTGACTACCCATCGGTGGAGATGAACAATTTTTCTTGCAGTAAAAATGGACTATGACTCTACACATTTGCTCATAAAACATATATATTTAACCAAACATTTCAGTATAAACAGAGAAAACCTAGATACGTATTCTATTTTAGTACAGCTTGGCTATGACAACACCGATCGTCGGTCACAAGGTAAATACGAAAAGGACATTCTTGAAAAACAATGTGAAAAGCACAATAAACAGCCAGCAGGAACTAGAACTCCTATCTTGTTTGGCATCACCCTTGATGCGGGGTAGAAAGAAAAGCACATAGCCGATTGTGAATCGATTCTACCGCCGACTGATGTTTCCCTTTTCTTCAGATCCAAAAAATAGAGCTGGCCGAGGACGTGGGCATAGCCCAGTGGTTGGGGGCGCATGATTGTAAACCCAACGACCAGAGTTCGATCCACGTCGGGGACGAATTTCTGGAATTCTCATGAGGGATGCTTCTTCTATATCAATAAACCGTGGGTGCTAGTGCCCATGGAGTTTCATTTTAAAAAAAAAAAAAAATAGAGCTGGCCGGGGGGAGTAAAAGAGAAAGCAATCACTGTCGAACCCCCTCGGTGACAGGCAACTGGTTAAGTTAATCTGATGATAGGAGTATTGCTTTGCAGACAAGACACATAATTATGTTGCCCCTCGAAACAGGGTAAAGATGGTGAGTGAATTGATTGACGAACGCAAAGGAAAAGTGTCGTTTAACAGGTTAACTTGTTGAAGCAAAAGCCAATACTTGCAACACATGAAAAGAAAACTTTTCTTATCAAACGAATGTTTCACTTGGAACGTACGTACTACTTTCAGAGCCGAAGAAAAGCATTCTTCCCCGACAGGAACCTTTTTTTTTAGAATCCCCCGCCGGGAACTAGTTGTGCACAGTGCACACACACACTAATCGTGCTACTTTTTTTATCACTTTCCTTCTTTTTAGGGAGGCGGGCTCGCGCGCGGCCTCTAACAAATGGCAAAGTGTCACGGGCTCATGGCCCATTAACAACTGGGCCAGAGGGCTATCTAATCCAGTACCATGTTTGTTCTAAAAAAAAAGGTCTAGACCAGTACCACACCACCGTGTGCGATAAGCCTGCCCAAACTTTGACAACGGATTCCATTTGTTACGCTGAGGAATAAATCTCTCGACCCCGATCTGCGGCGCACAGGGAGACTGCTGATCAGGCCGGCCATCTCCATGGCCGCCGACGCCAAGCCACCGCCGGCCACGACGCTGCAGGACGTCCCCGACAGGCTCCTGGAGCCGATCCTGGCGCGTCTCATGTCGTCGCCTTTCTGCCTCGTTCGCGCGGCGGCCACCTGCAAGCGGTGGCGCCGGATCATGGGCCGCTCATGGTTCTTCGCCAGCGAGCTCTACATAGCCCACCCACCGGCCCCAAACCGACGCCCCGTCGCAGGAAACTACTACAACCGTGTGTGCCCCCTGGGCGGCCGGGAGATCGTCTTCGTCCCCACCTCGCCGGCGGCGCAGCGCCGCGTCGAGAGCCGCCACTTCTCGCTCGACTTCCTCCCCGGCGGCAGCAAAAAATGGGAGATCGTGGACAGCAGCCGCAGCCTCGTCCTCCTCGCCAAGAAGAAGAAGAGCGGGTGGATGCGGCGCTGCTTCCCCGACCTCCTGGTCTGCGAGCCGGCCACGCGCCGCTACCAGCTGATCCCGCGCATGGAGGAGATGAAGCATCACCGCTGCCTCGGCTCACACCTCGTGGGCACCGAGAGGAACTTTGAGTTCAAGCCCGGGGGCGGCATGCGTGTCGTCCACAGCATGGAAACATTCAAGGTGTGTAGACAGGCTCGCATGTTTCCACTTTCTTGTTTAGACAGGCTCGCGCGCAGCCCAGGACGACGAATGGCGGTGTCACCGGCTCATGGCCCGTGAACAACTGGGCCCGAGGGCTGTGTAGTAAGCCTACCCAAACTTTGACTTGCCTCCAAAAAAAAAACTTTGGCAGCGGACTCCATTTGTTACGCTGAGGAATAACTCTCTCTACACCCCGATCTGCGGCGCAGAGGGAGACTGCTGATCCGGCCGGCATCTCCATGGCCGCCGACGCGAAGCCCCCAGCGCTGACGACGCTGCAGAACGTCCCTGACAGGCTCCTGGAGCCGATCCTCGAGCGCCTCATGTCGTCGCCTCTCTGCCTCGTCCGCGTGGCGGCCACCTGCAAGCGGTGGCGCCGGATCATGGGCCGCTCATGGTTCTTCGTCACCGAGCTCTGCAAAGCCCGTCCACGGGCCCCATACCCACGCCCCGTCGCAGGAAACTACTACAACCGTGTGTCCCCTCTGGGCGGCCGGGAGATCGCGTTCGTCCCAACGGCGCAGCACGGTGTTGAGAGCCGCCGCTTCTCCCTCGACTTCCTCCCCGGTGACAGTAGTGCATGGGAGGTCGTCGACAACGGCGGCAGCCTTGTGCTCCTCGCCGAGAAGAAAAAGAGCGGGTGGATGCGCCGCTGCTTCCCCGACCTCATGGTTTGCGAGCCGGCCACGCGGCGCTACCAGCTGATCCCGCACATGGAGGAGATGAAGCGTCACCGCTGCCTGGGCTCGTACCTCGTCGGCACAGAGAGGCGCGCTGAGTTCAAGCCTGAGATCGGCATCCGCGTGCATGTCGTCGACAGCATGGAAACATTCAAGGTGGTCTGTGTGGTCTATCAACAATACGACGGGGTGTGTGACGACATTGGCAACGCGAGGGCATGCTTCTTCGCCCGGGACACCCTCCAGATCTTTGTGAGACCCACGATCACATACTTAGGTAATGCGTGGGAGCTGCACAAGAGCCTCGAGTTGATGGAGGCAACGCGTGGGCTGGAAGGGTATAAAGAGGAGTACTTTGAGGACTCTTTGAAGGTTGTTGTAACCAGCCCGAAGTTCGTCCTTCTCGCTCCGGCAAGTGGAACATGGCTATTCTCCGTCAACCTTGATACCATGGAGGTGGCGAAACGCAACCACAAGACAACCGATCATTTGGGCTTACGGGATTATCCGTGCGAGCTGCCCTGGCCACCTACTATACGTGCTTGCGTTACTTGCATAGAGGGTTGTGTACGGCAAGAACAAGGGCCATGTTCGCATATTTGTATTTGTTGATGGTGTACGCCTTCTTATTGTTTTATTTTCAGATATCATGGAGTTGTAGAGACGATATTTCCTATTCAAAACTACCTCTAGACTTGAACACCTTTCATCATAAAAAACAAAGTGCTCTTCCTTTTGAAGTTGCTTTTGAAAAGATATATGTAAAATTAAATTATTGTTTGTATATTGTATAAAAAATGTTTCAATTGAAAGGTTTTTTTTTACAGTGCTCTGACTATCATTGTAGATAAAGCTATGCAAACTGGGGTTCAATAAGTAGTGGAAGGACGTTCCAATCTGTTGCAATATGGTGATGATAAATATTTTTTTCCAGATGTTTATTGTCTAGTGCTCTAAAATTTATTATATGCTTTTTTGAGTCTGACAATGTTTTTCATAAAAGCGTGTTGTTCTTGTTTGGTGATGCTTACTATAGACCGCGACTTATAGGATGTTTTGCTATCCCAGTAAGTGATTAGAA